TCTGCCGAAGTTCATACAGGCACAAGTTCATCAGAAACCTCTTCAATAGAGGAGATTTCATCAACTCCACCTACCACAGAATCTTCAATATATTCTACTATTTCTACTGAGGAGGTGACAACAGACACAAGCACAACAGAATCCTCTTCAACTCTCGAAATATTATCAACTCCACAGACAACAGATTTGTCGACACAACCTGTTATTACTTCTGATGTCGTTCAGGCAGCGACAAGCTCGTCAGAATCCTCCTCAATTAACGGGATAACATCAACTTCATCGACAAATTAGTCCTCGATTTATTCTTCCCTTTCTTCTGAGGAGGTGACAACAGACACAATACAAATGAAACCTCTTCATCTCTCGAAATATCATCTACTCAGCAGAAAAATGAATTTTCGATAGAACCCAGCACTCATTTGAGAAAGTGACCACCCGCCCAAACTCTACTAAATTCTTTTCCACTCCCGAAATATTCTCAACTCAACAGTCAAAGGAATCTTCGAAAAAACCTAGTACTACATCTATGGAAGTGACTAGACTCAATCACAATTTACTCTTCATCTCACGAGATATTATCAACTCCACAAACAACAGAATTGTCAGCACCACCTTGTACTACTTCTGAGCAAGTTAATACAGGCTCAAGTTCATCATATTCTTCTTTAATTAACGAGATTACATCGAATCCACAAGCAACAGTCTTCGGCTTTTTCTACCATTCTGACCTAGGTAACAACAGACAAAAGTACTAATGAATCCTTTTCCACCTTCGAAATATTATTAACCTAACAGACAAAAGAATCTTCGACAACCTAGTCTTGCGTCTGAGGAAGTTGATACTTGCACAAGTGCAATATAATTCTCTTCAACTCTTAAAATAATAGCAACTCCACAGGCAACAAATTCTTCGACAGAGTTTACTACTACGACTGACAAGGTGACTACAGACCCATGCACATCCAAATTCACTTCAAATCTTGACATCCTTGACTCAGCAATGAACTGAATCTGCCACCGATACCACTATTCCTTCTCAATCGGTGACCACCGCCTCAAGCATATCCTAATTGTTCTCGACTGTTGACATCACATCACTCTTTCATCTAATGGATTACTTATCTACTTTGGTTTTGGATTTGATTATGCAAACAAGCAGATTTGTCTCTACCTCCACTCTTCATTATACTCCGCCTTCATAGACAACCAATTTTTCTACTTCTGTACCACTTCATTTTATTTGATTGCACACAACCGCTCTTCTTACACAATATCGAAATTTTATACTTATTACCCTAACTCCGTTTTATTTGAAAATTATCTTCGACTCATTAGTTGACAACAGACACAAAAATATTTTAGTTAAATGCCACCCCCATTCGCTAGCATCGCAGTCAGAACAAACTTCTCAAGCGGTACAAGGCCTTATGTACTACTTCTTTCTTTCTTTTTTATCCAATCCTCCCGCCTATTTTCTATAAATTTTCCTCCTAATTCCTCTGTTCTCTTCACCTCTTGGGTTTCACCCATTTGATTCTGTATGGACTTGCATTTTACATATACTCATCTCTTCCTATTATATTATTTACTACTATTATTTAATGTCTTTAATCAAGATTTCTCCTGTCATCCCAAGACTCATCGATCTCGTTCAATTTTTTTAATTTACTATCTGACGAAAAATCCCTTAACAATTATTTTTCTTATTTTCCCTCGGCTCTTTTTATTCTTATTTATATCACGTCATCACTCAATAATTACGTTTTATCCATCTCACCAGTCGGTGTTAACACTCCTTTAATTTTGTTACCAAATCGCTTTTTCATAGATTTTAGTAAAGCTGAGTTATTTCGAGAATTTTCTATATAGCCAAATGCTATATCATATCTGATTTCATTTATTTCCGAACTCCACGAAATGCGAAGAGGTTTTCACACAAATAGAAATTGTGACATTCATTCAAAAAACCTACCGACAGTAAAACATTTCCTTATATATTTTGCTTAAAGCAATTAATGGCTATAAATGTAGACGAGGAAGGATTCATCTCCTGATTAGGCACTCAAACATGCATTCGATGAGGGTATTTTCAGAAATTTAAAAAAGAATAAAAAAATGGAGCATGAGTAGCAAAGTGCGATATTGGCGGTAAAGATAGATTTGAGCTCAGGCTCAGGGGGTGGACGGTCCAATAATAGAGAAGACGATTGCACAGGCTAAAACAGGGTTTTTTATCGTGAAGGTCATCGGATGACGGTCAAAGCCATAATATTCAGCATTTTCAAGAAACTGCTGGCGAATAAAGTGAAGAATG